TCATTCGGAGCGTTTGGAATGATCGTTTGCAATGATCATTTGCAATGATCATTCAGAGCGCTTGAGATGATCGGTTGAAATGATCATTTGGAATGATCATTCGGAGTGATCATGTGAAGCGATCATGTGAGATGATCATGTGAAGCAATCATGTGAAATGATCGTTTGTGATTATGAAAATATCTAATCACAACAATATGAAATAAATATTAAATATGTTTAAGTGATAATAAAATGAGACTAAAATTAAATATATATTATAAATTAAAGTTAAAAATATATTATAAGAGACAAAAATAATGTGATAGTAATAGAAAATGAATAAAGATAAGACAAAGATAAACAAAGAGAAGATAAAAAAAAACAATAAAAAAACAAGAAAATAAAACAAACAAAAACAAAGTAAATAAAAGAAACAAACAAAAAAAACAAAACAAGACAAAAAGTTAAAATCAGAATATGATCTTAGTTTATTTCAAATCAATTTCATGTTACATATATAACAAAATTTAAGTTAAACTAATTTATATATTATTTATATATATAAATTACAAAGAGAAATTAATAAAAGTATAGATCTATAACATGTTAAAATATGATAATTATTATATAATATTAAAAAGAAGTCTATGTAAACTCTATATATTGCTAATTAAATTAATATAACAAGAAATAAAAATAAAGTGTCAATAAGATTTAAAATATAAATTAATGTAAAATTACTATGAATTAATTGGTTAAATAAATGATAATGAAATTTAGATTAAAATAATATGATAAAAATGAGAAATGATTGAATAAAAATATGAATTATTGCTATTGGATAATAATAAAAAAAATTATAAAATATAGAAAAGAAAATAAAAAAGAATAAAAAAATATTACTGTACTTTTAATAATAAATACATATTAAAAATAATAAAAAATAAAATGATAATAATATATAGATTTTATACAAATCTCTTTCTAATTTTACATAATAATCATCATATATCAGCATGTTTTAGATTTATATTTTTATTGATTTCTCTTTGTAAATTATATATGTAAATAACATATAGAGCAGTATAATTCAAATTTGTTATATATGTAACATGAGATTAATTTAAAATAAACTAAAAAAATTATGTTTTAATTTTAACTTTTGTCTTGTCTTTTTTGTTTTCTTGTTTGTTTGTTTTGTTTGTTTTATATTTGTTTATTTTATTTGTTTTATATTTGCTTTGTTTTTATTTTCTCTTATTTTTCTTTTGTTTTATTTTTGTTTTGTCTTTCTTTGTTTTTTATTTGTTGACATATCATCTTTTGTCTTTTATATTACACTTTCAACTTTAATTTATAGTATATATTTTTATATTATTTATTTATCACTTAAATATATTCAATATTTATCTTATATCCATTTCTAAATATTCTCATATATAAGAACTAAAAATAGTAGCAATATAAATCATCATTTTTTTAAATAAAACACTAAATTTATATTAGCATTAATAATTATGACAAAGATGACACCTCAAAATAAATAAATGAGAATAATGATAATATGATTATCTATAATATATTTTCACACATAAATAAATTATTATTTTTAAATAATGATACAAATACAAATAATGACTAACAAAAATCAATTTATTATCTAAAACCGATTTGTTTTTGCAGATCGGTTTTGATGGATCGAAAGCATCCCTAATCCTAAATAAGGAGCCTGGTCCATCACATGATATATGACTATATAATTAAAGATTGATTTTAATTTTAGGGTTAGAGTTGTGATCGAAATTATATATAAAATTGCCTCCCCGACATTTTTTATTAGTATACCAAGATAGATTTAAGCATTTGTTTTCCGTTATTTTAAAAATTTACGCATCCTTATTGGTTTGTGTTTCGGACTGATTATCGTATGGACCAGGCTTTAGACGTTCCCTAAATAAGGAAATTCACATGACTATCGACTCAGCTAGTCGATGTAAAAAAATCCCGCGCAGGTTAGCTTGGATCACTAACAATACAAATTTAAATTCTAGAACGACATAAAGGGAAATACAATACAATACAAATGGAGGATTATAAAGACGGAGAAAACGTTTTAGTTGCGCCCAAAGCAGAAACATACGGCTCAGACATTGAATTCGAAGACGGTGATGAGGAAGCCGATGATCTTGACATAAAAAACTTGTCGACAAAGGCTTGGCTGGTGAAATTGCCAACATTTCTTGCAAAAAAGTGGTCTGAAATTGAACAGGAAGATGTTGATCTGGGGTGCGTGCGAATCCACGATCCAGGGAAAATAGAATTAATACTTTCTGATAATAAAATATATGCAGATATGCCGCGAGAGTATGACCTAGAAATAACGAATACTGATGTCAAAGACTCGTATTCTTTTTTCCTAAAAAGAGACGAGAATGGAATGGAGACAGGACCAGTCGCGATGCAAGCAACTGTTCATCATAATTGTCATATTAAACCATATGCGAGTGACGAGTACAGGCAAAAAGTGCGACAGAGAACTATAGAAGCAGCGCAACCTAAACGAACAGTACGAGTGATGAATCCAGATCAGAATCGCGGTGCTTACGTACCTCCTGGTCTGCAAGTTTCACCAGCAGACAATTTCGGAAAGCTTGTTCAAAAGAAACCAAAAATTCCGATGGAACAAAAAACCACTCGTATGCCGGAAAACGAGCTCATCGATTTGCTCTTCCAGGCATTTGAAGAGTATGCTTATTGGACTTTAAGAGGGCTGAAAGATTATGTCAAACAGCCAGAGTCCTATTTAAAAGAAATATTAACACGGATCGCAATCCTGGATAAACGTGGCCCTTATAATAATTGCTATCACTTGAAGTCAGAGTACAAACGCGAGAATGAACCAACAAATGATTCGATCGCGCCAAATGGATTGGAACCGCCGAATGGTGATTCTGCAATGATAATTGATGATGATGATGATGAAGCGGAAGAAGAGGGAAATATTGAAGGTGAAGATGAAGAGTTTGATGAGTTATTTGAAGAGGATAACAATTGATTGAATATGCACAATAAATACAATTACAATTACAATTACAATTACAATTACAATTACAATTACAATTACAATTACTTACTATGCTATAAATGATGGTGATTATTACACTAGAAATTATAATTAAAGTATTTTCGAGTTGATATTTAGTTAAAATTGTATTATACCGATACGTGATGCAGCAATTTAATAAATTAGGTGATTTGCAGAAAAGATCTTAAAACCAGTTTTTTTGACTAAATACCCAAACTCACTAATAAATAATCTTGTGGGTCTTCAAGTAACAATATACGATAAAATACAGCACTTTTTATTAATTAACAGTTAACTTAGAATATCAACTATTTTTACGACATGTCAAAAAGAAAAGCGCAACAAGCATTGGAGGATGAAAATGATGTCCTACAAATTCAAGCACTCGGTGCTGGTAACGAAGTGGGCCGCTCATGTTTGGTCATTAAATACAAGGGCAGAACGATAATGGTACACTATCCAGCAGCAACATGCTCCCTTCAACACTTCTACACTGATAATTTATCACTATATAAAATAGATTATCAAATGTATCTTGAACTTTGTTTTATGATTAATAAAAACCTGTTTTTCACAAACTTGAAAAGTTGGACCGGTTTTTTTTTTGATTTTTGTTCATTGAACTATGGATGGGCTTTTGATTGATGACATTTGATTCTCTTTTAGTTGGATGCAGGAGTGCACCCGGCTTTTAATGGGTTGGCAGCACTTCCTTTTTATGATGAAATTGATCCTACTACTGTTGATGTTTTGCTGGTTAGCCAGTATGTAATCATCCATTTAAGCAAGCGAAGATGATGAACATTCATATTTAACTATATCGTGTTATAATTGATATTTTTAGCTTTCATTTGGATCATGCCGCTTCTTTACCATATTTCATGGAAAAGGTTTGTTTTCTACTCGCACGTATTTTTACCCTTTTATTATAAAGTTGACGTAATTTAAATATAATTTAGACCGGATTCCGTGGTCGTGTGTTTATGACACATCCGACAAAAGCTATATATAAATGGTTATTAACAGACTTTATAAGAGTCAGGTAAGTATTCTAGTCATTGTTATATAAATAGAATAATAATCATCAATTCTTGATCTTATGAAATGTCAAAGCAATGTCGGAGCCGATGAAAATATTTATACGGAACAAGATTTGCTGCATAGCTATGAGAAAATTGAGGCGGTCGATTATCATCAAGAGATGGAGGTAGAGGGAATAAAGTTTACTAGTTATAATGCTGGACATGTTCTCGGAGCTGCAATGTTTTTGATCGAGATTGCTGGTGTAAAGGTATGATGAGAGGATCTGATTTTATTCGAGCACATCTATCAACATAAGATTAATGTATCTTTGCTCTATATAGATTTTATACACTGGCGATTATTCGAGAGAAGACGACAGACATTTAATGGCAGCTGAGCCTCCTAAAATCCAGCCGGATGTATTGATTACTGAATCCACTTATGGTGTTCAAAGCCATCAGCCACGATTAGAAAAGGAAGCGAGATTCACATGTAAAAAAAGTTGACAATCGAGAATTTTTTCCTTGATTCTTGTGTTTTATCCTCAAGATTGTTTTACGCAAATTCCAATCAAATAGCACTTGTACATGACATTGTACAACGTGGAGGAAGGTGTCTAATGCCGGTATTCGCGCTTGGACGTGCACAAGAATTGCTATTGATTCTCGATGAGTATTGGGAAGCCCATCCTGAATTAGAGTCTGTACCGATTTATTATGCGTCATCACTAGCGAAAAAATGTATGGCAGTCTACCAAACATATATAAACATGATGAATGCAAAAATTCGAAAGCAGTTTGCCATTTCGAATCCGTTTGTGTTCAAACACATTTCCAATTTGAAGAATATGGATAATTTTGATGACGTTGGACCTTGTGTTATGATGGCAAGTCCCGGGATGTTGCAGGTTAGGAAGTGGATGTATTAATTTGATTGTTGCACTTGATCATATTGGTTGATAATATTTGTTATTCAGAGCGGTCTTTCTCGAGAATTGTTTGAAAGATGGGCACCCGATAAAAGAAATGGTCTCGTAATTACAGGCTATTGTGTAGATGGAACTTTAGCTAGGGTAAATAAAACATCCGAGATATGTTACATGTATTATAGGATATAATTAAATATTACAATCCTCTTTTAATTAAAGCATGCAATGACTGAGCCTGCAGAAATAACTTCGATATCTGGAGCAAAAATCCCGCGGCGTCTATCTGTTGAATATATATCATTTTCAGCTCATGTAGACTACACGCAGAATAGTCAATTTATTGACGAAGTAAATGCTCCTAATATTGTAAGTATATATCATTAATTATAATCGAGATAGATAATAAACTGATTTTTTTATTATTTTATTTTAGGTTCTTGTACATGGCGAATCAAATGCCATGGGTCGCTTGAAAAGTACTTTAGAGACGAAATTTAAAGATCGTGGACAAAAGGTTCAAGTATTCTCGCCAAAGAATTGTGAATTCGTAAGGCTCAAGTTTCGAGGAGAAAAATTGGCAAAGGTAAGCAAAGCATAGTATCTAGAATGAATGGGGAGTAGCTACATGATCTTAGAGGCTTCCAATCAATTTTTTTTTGGCTATTGGATAAGCTTCCAATGACATTTTATGTAGGAATTGAAAAAGAATTGGAATTATTGGAAGCTTTCAAGAACGTCACTGGCTGCGTATGTAAACCAAGATATAAATCAGTATCATTAATAATGTTGCATAATAATCTACTAGACAATAGGTTCTCTAGCTGCTAAATATCCTCAAGAAGACCAATTACTTTCTGGCATTCTTGTCTCAAAAGATTTTCAATTTAATATTATGGACGCACGCGAATTGAAAGAGTTTAGTGGGATTTCCACTTCTGCTATTTCGCAAAAGCAGACAATCTATTATCGTGCTTCTTTCTCGCTGTTAAAGTTCCATTTGGAACAGATGTTTGTCAATTTGGATGAGACAAAAGACGAGAATGGTGCACCAACTTTGAAGGTGATAAATAATAATTACGATTGTTATAATTTTGGATGATTTTCTTTTATTGATCATTTTCTTTTCTCCCATTAATACCCAAAAGATATTGGATTCTATTAAAGTTAAACACGTAAATGAAAATCAAATCTTACTCGAATGGCAAGGTAATTCTATGAATGATATCATTGCAGATGCAGTCTTAGCTGTAATACTGAATATTGAAAGCAGTCCAGCTTCCGTCAAAGGTAAGAAATTTTGGCTTAATTTATTCAGTCAAGTCTTTATTTCGTTTTCACTTTTACTGATTCGCTAATAGTCACCAAAAGTCCAACTCATTCGCACCGGCATCACCAAGAAGACATACGATCCGCCACAATAAATTTTCTTAAGAAGCAATTTGGGGAAGTTTTCGAAGATCCAGAATCGGAGGATGAGATCGTTGTCAAAGTAGATGAACATACTGCCACAGTTAATATTCAGACTTTGGTTTGTATTACTGATTAATGATATTTATTCGAATTAAAAAAAAATGAATTTTTCTTGACTTGTTTCTTTTTCTTCATAGGAAATAAACACACAACATGAACCGTTAAGGAAGAGACTGGTTGATGTGATTGAACGTGTTGCACGTACACTGCGGCCTTTGGACTTTGAAATCTTGTCGAAGATGAAAGTATCACCATAACGATAGATGTCTATATTACCTTTCATTTTTATTCACGTGACTATTTTTTAACGAGAAAATCCGAAAATTCTATTTATTCCCCTGACATGGATATGATGCAGAAAGTCTAAAGCCATCCAATACTTTGATAAGTTCTATAATGTATTTTTTTGAATATTATTTAGTGAGCAGTTTGGAGGTCACTGAATAGAACTCGGATATAATATATGTATATTCTACCTTCTGCATTTCTATTGGTTTCATGTGACTCATACCTGCATAACAAATTTCATGTTTCACGTGATAGAATCGTTAATGTATTAACGTTAACGAAATATTCATCATCACCTCGATGGAACTGAAATTCGATATAAATAAATAGGGTTGTTTGTTAATGGAGTAGAGTGAACTGGATTCATATTATAGTGGAGCAAGGGGTCAATCAAATTAAAACCACCCGGTTTCATTGTTGCTCCAATACTGCTCCAGCTACTCCGGAGTACTTATAAAAGTCACATGTAATGAATTTGATTGGATAAAAGCTATATATAAAATACTTTTATTAATAAACTGATGTGTCATTTTTGATGATAATACCGATGCAAAACCCACTTCCAATGATGAATTGGATTCATTATGTATCACTGTTCCTGTTATTGAATGTGCTACAGCAGACGGTTCCGGCTGTATTGGTATTTGTGAAGTTTCTGGCTTTTTTGTAAATACGCGAAAAAACTCAGTAACTAGAATTGAATAGAGAAAAACTAATTTGCATTATAAAAAACATAAAAATTGACAATTTACATTTGTAGATGATCCGGGATTTCTGAATAATACTCTCGTAATACCATCACAAACAGTATATTAGATGTCGATAATTATTATTTCTTCTAATTCTTCATTAACTTCTTTTATTACTTCATAAATTCTAAAATAATATAAATTAATTAATTAGTATGTTTTTAGTAAAATAATGATTAACAATAAATAAGCTTAAATGTCATATATCCCAAAAAAAATAAAATTAAAAAAAATCGAATCAGATGTATATTCTATTCAATAGCTAAGTTTCTGGCCCCTACCGAGTGTTACCTTTCGGGTAGATATTTTTCAGGTATGAGCTATTAGGATAAGATATTTCTACCAAATCGCGTTCATCAACCAGTCTCTAGCTACTTACTAAGTAACCATTCAATAATCAGTTTCACATAAAAAAAAAGAGGAAGACGAGATTTTACTTTACTCTTAAAAGTAAAAAGACTACTCTTAAAAATAAAAAAGAATATTATGCAGAAAATACATGTTTTATCATTTAGATTATTAAAGAAATATACTGAATAAAAATATTACTTAACCTTAAATTCTGCTAAATTTTCTCTAGAAATTTTTCATTGTTTTAATAATAAGATTATTTGCATTTTGTTTAATTTATTAGAAGATATTTGTTTCTTCTTCTAATTCTTCATTAACTTCTTTTACTATTTTATACAATTACATAAATGTCTTAATAAATTCTAAAATAATATAAATTAATTAATTAGTATATATTTTTAGTAAGATAATAATTAATAATAAATAAATAAGCTAAATTAGAATATCATGTATCTCAAAAAAAATAAAAATTTAAAAAAAATCGAATCAGATATATATTCTATTCAATAGCTAAGTTTCTGATTCCTACTGAGAGCTATCTTTTGGATAAATATTTTTTGGATATAGGCTATTAGGATGAGATATTTTTATCAAATCATATTCATCAACTAGTCTCTAACTACTTACTAAATAACTATTTAATAATCAGTTTCACACAAAAAAAGAGGAAGGTGAGATTTTACTTTACTCTTAAAAGTAAAAAAGACTACTTTTAAGAATAAAAAGGATATTATGCAGAAAATATATGTTTTATTATTTAGATTATTAAAAAAATATACTGAATAAAAATATTACTTAACCTTAAATTTTGCTAAATTTTCTCTAGAAATTTTTCATTATTTTAACAATAAGACTATTTGTATTTTGTTTAATTTGTTAGGAGATATTTGTTTCTTCTTCTAATTCTTCATTGGCTTCTTTTACTATTTCATATAATTCTATAGATATCTTAATAAATTCCAAAATTAATTAATTAGTATATGTTTTTGTAAGATAATAATTAATAATAAATAAATAAAATATCATATATTTCAAAAAAAATAAAAATTTAAAAAAAATCGAATTAGATGTATATTCTATTTAATAGTTAAGTTTCTGATCTCTACTGAATAATATCTTTTGGGTATATATTTTCAGATATAGGTTATTAGGGTAAGATATTCCTACTCTGACACCTTCATCAATCAGTTTCTAGTTACTTACTAAGTAACCATTTAATAATTAGATTTATACAAAAAAAAGAGGAATGCAAGATTTTACTTTACTCTTAAAAGTAAAAAGACTACTTTTAAGAATAAAAAAGGATATTATGCAAAAAATACATGTTTCATTATTTAGATTATTAAAGAAATATACTGAATAAAAATATTACTTAATCTTAAATTTCACTAAATTTCACTAGAAATTTTTCGTTGTTTTAATAATAAGACTATTTGTATTTTGTTTAATTTGTTGGAAGATATTTGTTTTTTCTTCTAATTCTTCATTGACTTCTTTTACTACTTTATATAATTCTATAGATATCTTAATAAATTCTAAAATAATATAAATTATTTAATTAGTATATATTTTTAGTAAAATAATAATTAATAATAAATAAATAAGCTAAATCAGAATATTATGTATCCCAAAAAAATAAAAATTTAAAAAAAAATTGAATCAGATGTATTATTACCATGGTAATATAAATTTCTCTAATTCAATAATCTTTTTTTGATTATACGAAATTTTCTTTTTCTTAATTTTTACAATTTAT